CACGGGGTACGGAGGCTGGGTGTGTGGGGGACACTCCAGCCACGGGGTACGGAGGCTGGGTGTGTGGGGGACAATCCAGCCATGGGGTACGGAGGCTGGGTGTGTGGGGGACACTCCAGCCACGGGGTGGAGGCTTGAGGGGCCCTCCAGCTATGGGGTGGGGGTTGGGTAGGGGGACACTCTGACCATGGGGGGGAACTCTGGCCATGGGGTGGGGGGCTAGGTAGGGGGACACTCCGGCCACGGGATGAGGGCTGGGTGGGGCGAGCACTCTGGCCATGGGGTGGGGGCTGGGCAGGGGGACATTACGGTCATGGGATGGTGGTTGGGGGGGAACACTCTGGCCACGGGATGGGGGATGGGTGGGGGGGCACTCCAGCCACGGGGTGAGGACTGGGCGGAGAGACACTCTCGCCATGGGGTGGGGGCTGGGTGGGGGGACACTCCAGCCATAGGGTGGGGGTAGGGGGTGGGCAGGGGAAGCTACTCACAGCAGATGAGGAAGAGGACGAGTGCATGGCCCATGGTGTCGGGGCCCATGGCAGCAACTGGGCAGTGATGCTGCAGCCAGTGCTGGGCAGGAAACGCGGGTAGAACAGGAAACCAGAGACTCGCTCAGCACGGCCCATGTGTACCCTTGTGCTTAGCGCTGCCCAGACACAGAGCCACTAAGGTCAGGGCCCCGTCATGCCGAGTGCTGCCCAGACACAGAGTCACCAAGATCAGGGCCCCGTCATGCCCAGTGCTGCCCAGACACTGAGGCACTGAGGTCGGGGCCCCGTCACATGGGGCACTGCCCAGACACACTCATTGAGATGGGGGCTGCATTGCATCAGGCCTTGTATTACCACTGTCAGCCATATTGTGAAGTCTATTCACCACATTCAGCTTGACCTCACAGCCAATAAGCCTCTGCTCCGAGTGCCCCACAGATTTGTGCTCACAGGGGCAGGGAAGTAAACCTCTAGATAGGAACTCCACAAAATGCCCTGCCCTGCCCTGCCCCGCCCCGCCCCGCCCCGCCCCGCCTTGCCTCATTTCCAGACCTCCTATCCCCCTCCCTACCCATTTCATTATCCAATCAAATGACATTGCTTGTCCACTCGGGGTGACCCCTCAGCCAGGCGGCTTCATGCCCCAGCCCCCTACCCCATCTTGAGTCCAGCGAGGATAATAATCTATTGTCACATTTACACACCAAAGTGTGAGCACTTGCCAAGTAGAGCAGCCAAACTCATCAGGTGGGACTATGGGTAAAAAGCATGTAAATCAGGCTGGACAGAGCAGGCTTTGCCTCCTCTCCCCTCTAGAGGGAGCAGAGAGCCTCAGCCCCTAGATGATAATTGGCCATTGGTTTATGGACCGCAATCTTGGTGATTTTGTGTCTGGGCTGTGCCTGGCGTGAGGGTGCCCTGATCACAAGGAGGCAAAAAACACTGGTAGTGGGAAGGAACCTAAAGGAGAAACCTGGGAGGCAATTCTCCGCTCCCAGTTTGGATCTTCCCAAATGTTTTTCTGCTGGAGCTTGCATGGACGTCAACGCCTCTCAGGCGAAATGTTTCTTGGGGGCCTGGGACTGGCCCCTTTTGTGCCCGGCCCCAGCTGCTGCTTTCCTTGGGTCACTTGCTTGGGTCACAGTGCCCGCAAGGGGGGCAGGGAAACTCAGAGCCGCGCTCTCACCAGCCCCATGCTTGGCCTGTGCCCTCGCGGTGCCCTACCTGTGGGGCTGCATTCTGCTGCGAAAGAGCTAGAGAATGGGGGGAGGGGGCAGAGGGACTTGCGTGCCTGAGTGGGGTCTCTAGCAACGGTATGGGGCAGGGGATGGGTCCTTGTCTCTAGGACTGGGACCCCCCCCATTGGCTTCTCTAGGAGGGACAGGGCTCGGGGGGATGGTCTCATGCTCCAGCCAGGGCCACGGGGCTCCTCATGGCTCTAGCACTGGACTGGGACACAGGACACCTGGGTTCTAACCCTGGCTCTGCCATTGGGTGACCATGGGCAAGTCACTACCCTGCTCCATGCCTCAGTTTCCCCTGTACGAGGGGAAGGGGTAGAGTGGGGGCGGGGCTTGGGATGGAGGTGGGGGTTGAGAAGCCCTCAGGAAATCATAAAGTCGGTGCCTCTGTGCATGGCTGGCATGGTTCACGGTCGCCCAACATTGGCCCCCCAGTGTCAACGTGCCAGGCCCAGTTCCTCTTTCAGCTCTTCCAGAAGATCCGGCAGCCCTTTCCCCTACATTTCCTCATTTCCGTGCTCCCCTCTCATAACCCAATAGAGCCAAGAGACCGTCCTGTCGGCTGCCCCTTGGCACTGGCCAAGCCGGGCAGCTTCCAGCCCAAGGGAAGGAATCTCGGCAAATGTGGGTGCGTGCTCATTCCCTCATTGTCCCGCACTTCTGGGCAGAGCTGACTCCTTCGTGGCGCGCCAGGTGCTGGCTGGGGTAGCCCCTTCTTCTGGTTCTTCCACCTGCACTCCCATCCCTGCGTTTCCCGGCCCACTGCTTTTCCCAGGTGCCTGGTGTGACGAAGTGGGCATTTTCTGTCATATTTGCCTGAATCTGAGGCATGCCTCAGTTTCCCTATGTACATGGCATGGCTACCTAGCAGGTGCGAAAGGGTTAATACTGATCCTGGAATGGCACAGGAGGGGTGGGGGTGTCACCTCACTGTGTGTGTGTGGTGGGGAAGGACTGGAGTCATTGAAGAAGTGGCTCTGGCCGACCCAAATCAACCGAGGATTTAGCGACACCAAGAGAAGCCCCCAGGACTGGACAATCAGCAGGAAACCCCGACTGGCAGGATCTGGAAGTGGAGCTGGAGAACATGGACTCAGGGGACTGAGAGAAGGAGCCGTTTGGAGGGACTCAGGAGCCTGGCCTGGGGCAGATGGGAGAGAGAGCCGGAGCCGGAGTCCATCAATGGCTCTGTGGAGGCTGCCAGTGTCGCTGCAAATCCCCCCTGGGCATTGCACCCTGGAGAGGCCGGTCCAAGCCTTCCGCAGGTGTCTGGCTGGGCTACATTCGCTGCAGGGAGCCACAGAGAGAGACGGGGCCTCCGGTGCCAAAGGGCCGGTCTTGGGGCAGCAGCTGGGAGCCCTGGCTTTTGCAGACCCAACCCAAGCCCAGCGACAGACCCGGGGAGAACAGGGAACATGGCTGGAAGTGACTGGGTCACATGGACCGAGCAGTGTGCGGGGTTGAATAAGTTGCCATTCAGCTCCGTGCTCTGTGAGTGAAATGTGCGCTCCTCGCTCCTCTTTACGGAGCAGCCGGCCTGCCAGAGCACGGATCCAGGGCTAACTGAGGGGCTGATCCGATGGGAGTTGACCAAATCTGTGTTCCTGTGCCAGGCCGTTCGGCTGGACCCAGAGGCAAACCTCTCCCAGAGTCGCCGTCTCGCCCTCTGGCGCCTGCTGCTTAGAGTCCATTACAGAGCAGCTGTGACTCCCCTCTTGGGAGTTCAGGCTGCGTCAGCTTCAAACCTGGCTTGTTTCTTAGATCTCTGAGTGCCAGCGAACAGGCCTGGGCCGACGTTCCTGGCTGCTGGCCACCCAGAGCACTGCCAGATTGTTCTCCCAGCCCCTTGCTTCAACTGGCCCCCTCCTCTCCTGGCAGCCCTCTGCCACCTCCCCCATCTCTAGTGCATCCAACAGAAGCTGCTTGGCTTTATTTTCAGGGCTCCTCACAGCCAACCCCTGGCAGACTGATCATCTCTCATTCACTCCCAGTGCTACCGTAATACACCTCGTAGATAATGTACAGCACCTAGTGCAGAGGTCCTAAGCCATGATGGGGCTCCCAGTGCTACTGTAATACACCTAATAGATAACATACAGCTCCTAGCACAGTGGGACCCTGATCAATGCCTGGTGCTCCTACCACTACCATATTACACCTAATACATAAGAATAAACAACAACATTCTGGGCTGGGTTTGAACCAATCTTGAGTTGCACTAATCCAGTGGAGTCCAATGGGATCTGGGTGCTTAACTTCCTTTGGCTCCTTTGCAAACCTTGGTCTGGAGCAATGGCCATGGCTCGGCCAGAATTTCTGAGTGAAGCGCGTGTGGAAGGCAGCGTGTGTGTGTGTCCCTTCTGCCCCCTGCTGGAGGGGGTGCCCTGCGCTGTGTGTGTCCCCCTCCTGCCCCCTGCTGGAGGGGGTGCCCTGCGCTGTGTGTGTCCCCCTCCTGCCCCCTGCTGGAGGGGGTGCCCTGCGCTCAGTGTGTGTGTCCCTTCTGCTCCCTGCTGGAGGGGGTGCCCTGCGCTCAGTGTGTGTGTGTCCCTTCTGCCCCCTGCTGGAGGGGGTGCCCTGCGCTGTGTGTGTGTCCCCCTCCTGCCCCCTGCTGGAGGGGGTGCCCTACGCTGTGGGTGTGTGTCCCTTCTGCCCCCTGCTGGAGGGGGTGCCCTGCGCTGTGTGTGTGTCCCCCTCCTGCCCCCTGCTGGAGGGGGTGCCCTGCGCTGTGTGTGGGTCCCCCTCCTGCCCCCTGCTGGAGGGGGTGCCCTACGCTGTGTGTGTGTGTCCCTTCTGCCCCCTGCTGGAGGGGGTGCCCTGCGCTCAGTGTGTGTGTCCCCCTCCTGCCCCCTGCTGGAGCGGGTGCCCTGCGCTCAGTGTATTTCCTTCACAATCTCTCAAACTCCCAAACCTCATGTCTGATTTTTGCCCAAACATCACCAGAAAATTCACCTGCCGGGGGAATGTCTCTCCTGTGCCGCCACTCCACCAAATCAAACTGGCTAGAAACAAACCTTCGTTGTCACTTGTGGCGACTCCCAACCCTGTCTCCGGGCTCTGACAGCATGTCGGGGGCGACCCTTTTCTAACCTGGCTCCCGGCCAGGCCGAGAGCAGGGACAGAACCAGGAACCTTCAGGGAGAACAGCTGGGAACTTGGGCCAACTCCCCACCCTCTGCTGCGGAGCGGCCACTAGAGGGAGTTGAAGCCGCACATTTCACTCGCCAGCTTCCACTCACAAGGCCAGTTCTCTCCAAACAGACAGGCTGGCACCAGTACCCACCTCAGCCCCAGTGACACCCAACTTGGAGGGCATCAGTCATGGCCGGGGCTGGCTCCTACCCCTCTGCCCTGGGGCGGAGGACACAGACCCTGGGATTCTCAGATCCTGGTGAGTTTCAGTTAGAACTGGGTGAAGTTATGCAGCCTAAAGTTGTTTGGGGTGAAATGTACAGATGTGACGACACAGGGACCGTTAGGAAATCTGGGTCAATGGGGCTGAATTATTTCAGCTGTGGGGGAAAAAATGCAGGCACCATCCAAATGTTTGTCTCCCCATTTCTCAACAGCAACGGTTTGGTTTTATGATGGAAAACAATTGGAAAGTTCCTTTTGTTTTATTCCCATGGCACAGAGCGCTCAGCTCCGCAGGGAAGGGACACGGATGTTTTTGTTTTGTTTTCTTTTAGGGTGAGCCAGGGTGAAATATTGGGACAACAGGGAACAGGGTCGTCGAGAGGACAGAGCCCCTAATATTGGGACAGTCCCAGGACAGCTCATCACCCTATTTCAGTGGTCCTCAAACTGTGGGGCATGCCCCCCTAGGGGGGACGTGGAGGATCATCTGGGGGGTATGTAGTGGCCCTGAGAGCCCCCATGGGGGGTCAGGAGGGAGCACCACCCAGCCCTGCTCTGCCCCTAGCTTTGCTCTGGCCCTGCCCTTCACCCCAGCCCCTGGCCGTGGCTCCAGCCCTGCCCCTGGTTGCAAGCCCAGCCCCTGGTTCTGGCCACAGCCCCTGTCCCCAGCCCCTGGTCCCAGTTGTGGATCTGCTCCCAGCTCCTGACCCTGGCTGTAGCTCCGTTCCCACTCTGGGGGGTGGGGGGGTGGACCCATTCCACTACTGTTAAGGGGGGCGCGAGGAGAGAAGTTTGGGCACCCCTGCCCTATTTTATTTGTACTTTTCCATTCGCTGACAAGTTCAAAAAATCCCCTTCTGGATGGACCCACCCTGAATCCGCCCTCTCCTCCCGCACGATTTTTTGGAATAGCCGGAGAACCAAAAATCTTGGAGTCCCCGTGACTAGTTCTCTGAAAACTCAATCTATAGCAGAGACCGAACAGGCCAGCTGTATGTTAGGGACCGTCATTTAGGAATAGGATAAATAAGACAGAAAATATCGCAATACTGCTATCTAAACCTATGGTGCACCCACACCTTGAATGCCGCACCCGGTTCTGGTTGCCCCAACTCGGAAAGGCTATCCTTAGCGGGAAAAGGTTCAGAGAAGGGCAACAAAGATGACTCAGGTTATGGATCAGCTTCCGTATGAGGAGAGACCAAAACTATTAGGGGTGTTCACCTTGGAAAAGAGACACCTAAGGGGGGATATGATAGAGGTTGATCATAGAATATCAGGGTTGGAAGGGACCTCAGGAGGTATCTAGTCCAACCACCTGCTCAAAGCAGGACCAATCCCCAATTTTTGCCCCAGATCCCTAAATGGCCCCATCAGAGATTGAACTCAGAACCCTGGGCTTAACAGGTCAATGCTCAAACCACTGAGCTATCCCTCCTTCTGTGAGCTATCCCTCCTTCCCTCATGCTGGTGTGGAGAAAGTGAATATGGAATTACTTACCACTTCACATAACACAAAAGCCAGGAGTCAGCCAATGAAATCCATAACACAAACGAGAGGCAGTCCTTTCTCACCGAGTGCAACATTAACCTGTGGAACTCACTGCAATTGGATGTAGTGGAGGCCAAAAGCATAATAGGGACCAAAAAAGAACCAGATAAGATCCTGGAGGCTAGGTCCATTGATGGCTATTAGCCAAGAGGGTCAGGGACACAACCCCGTGCTCGGGGGGGATGCTAAACCTCTGGCTACCAGTAGCAGGGGTGCATCACTGCATAATCACCCTATTCTGTACTCTCCCCATAGGCTCTGGTATGGGCCCCTGTCATAGACAGTATACTGGGCAAGATGGACCATGGTCTCACCCAGTAGGGCCATTCTTAATCTGTGATTTTTCCCGGCTCTAATTTTGGTTCCCACCTTTGGCTCAGAGAGGCTGAAAATCCTGCAGGTTCCATGGGGCGAGCACCCACGGGAGACTGTCTATGACCCAGATGAGGCTCGTTAATTGCCACCAGGAACGGAGGGGTCCCCGTGGAGCTGATCCTCTGCCCCGGGCAATCAGAGAGCTCTGTGCCAGGGGGACCACGCCACAGGCCCTCCAGTGCCCCTCTGGGTCGTCCCTTGCGCTGCAGAGGGTTTCTGGGTCTGATTTAGCATCTCTTCTGGTGCCGACGGCTTCATTAACAACCGCAGCTGGGTGCTGGCTTTGAGTGTGGAAGCCAGGATGCTTCCTTGCGGATTGGATTCAGCAGACGGATGAAAAACGCACTCTCTGGAGGGTGAGGTGGGGATCTTCCCCCACCCAGGACTTCAGGTATGTGCCAATCTTCAATAAGAGGGTAAGCAAAACAATTTGACAAGTCCTTATCTAGCAGCCATCTCTGCTCTGTGTCTCTGCGGCTGGTTGACCCAAAGCTCCTGAGCAGTTAACGTAGCCTATTCTGGGTGCCGGAGCCTGACCCCACAGCTCCGGCTGGGTCTGAGCCTTTCCTCTTTGCCACTGATTTCTATGTGACGCCCCCACTGGTGCAGACCCGTCAGAGAAGAATAGGGGTGAGACGTTTCTCGGTGTGTCTTCATTTCCCTCTTGCAGAGGAAGGGTCTGTTATTACAGCGGGGGGAACGGTCTCCAACAGGCATTTCCCTTCTCCCCTGGGAAAATGCCCTTCTGTCTCTGTCCAAACTTTCCGCAGGAACCCATTGCTTTCCACGATATTTCATGCGGGAGGGAGGAGGGGGGAGAAAATTGGCTCGGCCACTCTTTCGGTTTGTCATTTGGAGACGGCTTTTCCTTTCGACTCGTGTTTGGTTTCCGGGATGGCACAACACAACAGAAGGTGATCTTTGGTTTAGACGCCGAAAGGGGGACAGCATCGCGGTTTAACAGCAACAAAACCTGGCGAAAATGTTCTTGTGCGGGGAAGTGTACAGATTTGACGCTTTGCAATGGAAACCAGTTTCCAAGGGTCGGAATCTCCCAAGACACAGATGTTCTGGTCCCCGTTCTCCAGGCAGTGCTGGAGGGGAGATCGGATTAGATGGTCACGATGGGTATGGTCTGGGGCTTGGAGGACCTTGGTTCAACTCGCTGTAAGCCAGGGGCAGGGCGGACATAATACTCCGTTCTCCCACGGCATTCTGAGGGGGTTCAGAGACCCCATGGCCAGAAGGGACCACTGTGATCCTCTAGTCTGACCCCCTGGATGGCACAGGTTGGAGAACAGCCCTGAATTCATTCCTGTCGGAACCAGAGGCGAGCTTTTAAAGAAAGAGCCCATCCACTACACCCGCTTACAACACACTGGAGAGGGGTCAGAGAAGAGCCAGATGAATGGCGAAAGGATTTGAGAGCAAGAGACTCCCGGATCTCAGTCTAGTTAGCTGAACAAAGAGACGCTTCGGGGCGACTTGATCCCAGTCTGTGAGTATCTCCATGGGGAACAAATATTCAGTAACAGGCTCTTCAATCTAGCAGAGGAAGGGCGAACACTGTCCAATGGCTGGAAGTTGAAGCGAGATGGTCACGACTGGTCTGGTCTGGCCTTGCAGTCTATGGATGGAGTGCGAAAGAGCTTGGTAAAACGCAGGCTGGGAGGGGATGCGATTGCTCCCCATAAATACGCCAGGGGGGTGAACGGCAGGGGACCCTGATCTCAGTTGGGGCTTGCAGGTGCTACCCTAGTGCTATGATTGAGCCCAGTTGTACCCAGTGCCATCGAGACCCGTAAGGAGAGACAGGCCCTGTTCTGGAGAACTTCCAGTCTAAATCTCAGGCTGTAGCTGCTCAGGGGCCCTTTTGGCGTAGTAGCCGCCTCCATGCCCCGCAGCGATCGGAAGCAGTTCCTGGGATTTGGAACGCATCCTGACCTGGGTTTGCGGAGGTGCTGAGCACCATCAGTTCCCTCTGCCTTCCATGGGAGATGGGGGAGCTCAGGTGTTGTCACTTTAGCCAGCACCAATATCTGCTTTGTTTCCTTTGACGCTTGGCCAGTGCTGCTTTTCTCGCTCAAGTGATCGCTGAAGAATGTTTTGCTTCCCCGTAACCTTGCTTTGTTAGCACAAGGAGCTGTGAAGCCTGGCCAATAATGCCAAGGTCACTTGGTCTTAAGCAGCATCTGTCATATGAGTAAATGCTGGTGATAGGTATCTGCTTTATGCTTTGGAAAGATCTCTTAGTAGGGGGCTGTCATCACTATAAAGGGAAGGGTAAACACCTTTCTGTATACAGAGCTATAAAATCCCTCCTGGCCAGAGGCAAAACCCTTCCACCTGTAAAGGGTTAAGAAGCTAAGGTACCTCGCTGGCACCTGACCCAAAATGACCAATGAGGGGACAAGATTCTTTCAAATCTGGAGGGGGGGTGGGAACAAAGAGTTTGTCTGTCTCTGTGATGCTTTTGCCAGGAACAGATCAGGAATGCAGCCTTCCAACTCCTGTTAAGTTAGTAAGTAATCTAGCTAGAAAATCCCCAGGAAAGGGGGTGTAGGGCTTGGGGGGATATTTTGGGGGAAGACGTCTCCAAGTGGGCTCTTTCTCTGTTTTTTGTGTAAGACTCTTGGTGGTGGCAGCATACGGTTCAAGCACAAGGCAAAGTTTGTACCTTGGGGAAGTTTTTAACCTAAGCTGGTAAGAATACGCTTAGGGGGTCTTTCATGCGGGTCCCCACATCTGTACTCTAGAGTTCAGAGTGGGGAAGGAACCTTGACAGGGGCCCTCTTGGTATTTCCTTGCTAAAGCTTCCAATGGCTTATATGGTGGGATTTGCCTTTCCTTTGTCTCTCCTCCTCCCAATACTTTTCCTCACCGCCCTCAGGTTTTTAATCCTTTTGCCTGTAAACAAGTTGAGTGCAATGTGCCTGCGTGGGCATACGTGAGCGCTGTTGTCTCCCAGCCATGCGGTTGGTGTTCGAGTTTGAGATACAACGATCAGCTGAAAGAAGAACAGGAGTACTTATGGTACCTTAGAGACTAACAAATTTATTTGAGCATAAGCTTTCGTGGGCTTCAGCCCCCTTCATCGGATACACAGA